GGTAGAAAAAGAAATACCATATGATTCAGTAATCCCACTTCTAGGTATGCGTCCTAGAGAAATAAGAGCAGTAACATGAATAGACATAAACATGCCCAAATTCATTGTAGCATTATTTACAATAGTAAAAAGAAGTAAACAACCTAAATATCCATCAACAAATGAATGCATAAACAAAACATCCACACAATGTAATGCTATGCAATGATAACAGAAAATAATAATCACTCCACAAAACATCTTATAATATGGCTGGATCTAGAAGACATCAAGCTGAGTGTAATAAATAAGTCAATGACAAAAGGCAGATACTTTTGGTATAACAAAAAGTTATAACACATTTATAAAAAGTCAAGAATAGATTTATACAGAGAAACTAACATTCGTTGATGGTTACCAAGAGTGGGAATGGGGAAGGAGGGAGAGTCAGTTAGTAAATTGTAGACACGTGCTAATTTTGGTGAAAGGAAAGGCAATATAAAATATGGGGGAAATCAGCATACCATGACAAAGATAAATGAAGACACAGAGTTATGCAAGAATAAAGGATAACTACAATAAATGCTATAATATATATAATTCTGTAACAACAGTTATAGCAACCAAAAATTTGTGAGTGGTTACATAGGTAGATATGTGTGCTATATAGGTAGGGTGGGCATATAGGGGAGTACATGTGTGTGCACATGTAGGTATAGTTGTGGCCATTTATATAAACATATTTGTATGTGCTGCATGTATATTCATATATATAATAGAGCACAAAGGGAGCACAATTATGGAAACTTACTAGAAATATCCAAACATCTCATGGGACTATGTTACTAGGCTTGAAGTTTAAAGACCACAGTCTCAGCAGACTCTAGGTCAACTGGCATAACAAAGTTCATAAAGATAATTTTTTACATCCTAGATTGGTGAGTAGCATCTGTAGTCTTAAAAGTTTGGAACTGGACATCTAAGACACAACTATTGGTCTCTTCCTATCTATAGCAAAGGAGAACAAAGGAAACCAAAGATTCAGGAAAGCAATTAGTCCACAGGACTAATGGCCCACCCAAACCACAGCTTCCTCTAGTATCAGACTTACTGAACTAATAGAGACCAAAGGAACACCCAAGACTGTCTGTGGCCCTAAGATAACCTTTGAATTTGGAACTTAATCCACTCTTGCAGGTCACCTTTCAGCCAAATAATACACTGGTCTGTAAAATAAACAATACCCCTTGTGAGGAATGTGCTTAGAACAATCAACAATAAGAATCCAAATGGGCAACATTTGCCCAAAAGCAAATATGAAAAGGCAAGGAGGGGCAGGGAATCTGTAAGGACAGAAACTAGGAAGATAGGGTTGAAATCAGAGAGTGCTGGTGCATTACAGGGATAGCAACTAATGTCATGAAATAAATTATGTATATATTGTTGTATGGGATACTGATTTGTTGTATAAACTTCCATCTATAACATAATAAAATGTTTAAAAACAAAACAAAACAAAGCACAATGGCAGTAAACATCTCCTTTCCCCAATACCCATCTGTTCTGGTTACCTAGTGCCACTCTGACAAGAAAATACCACAAATGGGATAGCCTTAATAAACAGGAGTTTATTCTTACAATTTGGAGGCTTTAAGTCCAAATTGAAAGTGCCAAGCTCTAGGGCCTGGGTGAAAGCCCCTCAACCTTGGGGTCCAGCTCTGCCTCCTGCTTCCGGCCCACTTGAGCTAGAGGTGTTTCTTCACTCAGACAGCTTCTGGCTGCTGAGGCTGAGAAGCTCCAAGGTTGACAAGTCAAAAGGCACAGTCCCAATGTTACCAAACCACACGGCAGGCCATTAACTTAAGTCCATTGTAAGTCTCAAGGTCGGCAGAGCATACACGGCTACATGCAGGGTCCAAGCATGCCATACGCTAGAGACCATTCCCAAAGCTTCTCCTTATATACAGGAAGCAGACCACATTCCCAAAGGCAGCTACTCAGCTGCTTGTGGTAGATCCCACCATGGAGTTGATTGCCAGTCTCCTCATGGGGATTAACTACCACCTGCTGCCCAGCCACTCAACCAGGCCCAGCCAAGTTGACACTCAAACATAACTACCACACCATCCAAAGGAAAGAAGAACCAGAAATTAAGTACTTGTTCGTGGAAGAACACAACATCACAAATGAAGTGATGTAACTATTTAGTAACTAACTAAATAAAACCTGAATATGATCAAGCACCTTTATTCAACTGCTAATCTGTAAGAAATACAATGGGTAAAGAGACATATTTTAAAAGGTAAAACTAACCAATAACTGTATAATGAAAATATGAGAGCAAAAAAAAGTGATTGTTGTAGGCAAGAAATGTTTTTATTTGAGGAAGGGAAAATGTTATGATTGAAATGGGGCAAATGATGGGGGCTTCTGGAAAAAAAAAAGTCTTATTTTTTGGTAGTTAAGAGGTGTTATGGATTAAATTATGTCCCCAAAAAATATGTGTTGTAAATCCTAACCCCTATACCTTTGGAGGGAGCTCTGATAGCGTAGTGCTAAGGCACTTGGCTGCTCACCAGAAGGCTGGCGGTTCAAACCCACCAGCCACTCCTCAGAAGGAAGGTTTGGCAATCTACTTCTGTAGTGATACTGCCTCGGCAACCCAAGGAGAGGTCACTATGAGTCGGGTCCGACTCGACGGCACATAACAACAACAGCATCATATCTGTGGATAGCGTGCTAAGTAGAGGGTAAGTGAAAAAGGGGAAGACCCTCAACAAGATGGACTGACACAGTGGCTGCAACCCTGGGATCAAGCATAGCAAGCATTGTGAGGATGGTGTTTCATTCTGTTGTACACAGGGTCACTATGAGTTGGAGCCAACTCGACGGCTATAACAACATACCTGTGGTTATAATCCCATTTGGAAATGGATTTTTTTGTGGTTAAGAGGCCATGTCAGTGTATTAAGTATTTTAAGCCAACACTTCTGACATTTAAAAGAAATTAGGACAGGGGACAAGCAGAGACAGTAAAAGATATATGTCATGCCACATAAAGATCACTAGAGAGCCAAGGAATAGAAGCTGAAAAAAGACAAAGATCTTCATGAGCAAAAAGAGAGAAAAAGACTTCCACTAGAGTTGGCACTAGAATTCAAACTTCTACCCTCCTGCATTGTGAGAAAATTAATTTTTGTTTGTTAAAGCAAAAGAAAATGAAATTTTTCTTTAGAAAGTAACAAAATAGTTACAGTACAAAGTCAAAGAAATATCCCAGAAGATGTAACAGAATGACAGAAGAAGATATCGAAAACAGGAGAAAAAAGTTAAAAAAAAAAAAACAAAAAAACAGACACCTAAAGGATTAACACGGAGGTTCAATATCTGACAAGTAGGATTTCCATAAAGATAATAGAGAAAGAGAAGAGAAAATTATTGAAGACAATATGTCAAGAAAACTTCTCAGAAAAGAAAAGAATACATGTTTCCTTCTAGAAAATAGATATAAAGAAAAAAAAATGCTATATAACCAGGAATTAAAATGGCATTTGACTTCTCAATTGTAATATTAGTAACTATAACGTGAAATACTGTTGTTGTTGTTGTTATGTGCTTTGGAGTTGGACCTGACTCATAGCGACCCCTCCTTGGATTTCCGAGGGAGTATCACTATGAAAGTAGATTACCCCATCTTCCTTCCGAGGAGTGGCTGGTAGGTTAGAACCGCCAGCCTTCTGGTTAGCAGTCAAGTGCTTTAGGCACTATGCCACCAGAGCTTCCATATGAAATATTAGTAGCTATAATATGAAGAAGAAATTCTTTAGAAGTTCCAAGAGAAAATTATTTTTAACCTTGCTTTCTACACCCAGCCAAATTATCGATCAAGTGTGAGGATAAAGACAGTTTCGTATTTGCAAGCACTCAATATTTTACTTCCAGAAGAACAAACACATCTGTCTTGGAAAAAGTACAATCAGAATGCTCCTTAGGAGTGAGAATGGCAAGCTTTGTTTAATGTCCTTTGGTCATGTTGTCAGAAGGGATCAGTCCCTGAGGAAGAATATCATGCTTGGTAAAGTAGAGGGTCAGCATAAAAAGGGGAAGACCCGCCACGAGATGGATTGACCCAGTAGCTGTGACGATGGGCTCAAGCATAGCAAAGCTGCTGAGGAAGGTGCAAGACCGAGCAGTGTTTCATTCTGTTGAACATAGGGTCGCTGTGAGTCGGAACCTACTCGATGGCACCTAACAACCTGCATCATCTCATAGGCAGCGCCTGATGGATGTCTCCAGTAATGTGAGGGAATAAATCAGCAAAGAGGAAAACACAGACCCAAGAAATAATGAAAGAGCAGAAAGGCAGGCCCATAGACTTGAGAACATTCCTTGCTGTTGAAGTATGAAGTAGACACTGTCAATGTCTTGTCAATATCAGTAAGGCCTTCATTTTCTGAAGTTGGAATGAGGGCATCAGGCATAAACATAAATGCCCTTTGTGTAAGGCAAAAGTTGAGATGTAGTATTAGTAAGGAAGAGTCAATGTGCACGGGAGTTCAGAAGAGAGTGTGACTCCATTCAAAGGAGGGAGAATGGACAAGGTTTTTGTGGAGCATTGACATTTAACCAAAGACCTGGAGGACGTAGGTGTTTTGGACACATGTAGCTGTGAAGGTATTCCAGAAAGAGACATTGGTATGAATTCAAGTACATATTTCTAAGGCTTACATGGTAATATAAAAGTATTAACTATAAGTAATGGTTTTGTTTAGAACTCTCCTAATATGAGTGACCATGGAGACAAAATAGTTTTTGACATGGCAATTTTAATTAAAAAATTTACATTTTGCATTCAGAAAAGCAAATACATGAGGTACAAGAGGACAGTTGATCAATAATTTCATCTCAAAAGCACTAAACATTAGCCTCTTCTCCTACCCAGATATGTATTATCATAAATCATGATGTCAAAGGAACAGTAGAGTTACTAAACTAAAGTTATCTGTATTGAATTGAAGGCATCAAGGTGTGTATTCCTCTATGCTTTGGGGAAAATAAGACTGTTGAGTGGGTTTCTTTGTCATGTCTCTCTCTCGTTCCAATTTTTCAATCTCCAGTGACAGCTTATACAACTCCAGGGCTAATTTCACATCCTGTGGGTTTGGTAGACACTGCATGAGGTGTTTACTTGCTAGTACTTTCTCACAGCCTTCAGGAACTTCCTAAAAGAGAAGAGTGGTGGGTGTGGTTGAGTGGCTCATGTCTGATCATGAAGGAGGGTGCAGCACTGAGAACGGTGCAACTACAGGATCAGGAGCAACCCCAGAACTGGGGGGTTAAACAGGGAAATGCATTGTGTACTACCATACTAATGCCCAGAGGAAGAGACATTGGTTCTGAGACAACTTCTTACAAGACCTCCACACTCTTTCTGCTGACCATTCAGAAATGGAACAATATATTATATAATCCAGGAAAAGTAAAGAATGAAGACTTTTAGGTCTATGAGATGGCATAATCCCTAAGGATCTCAGTTTTTTTCGGTTCTAAGGTGATAGCAGGAAAATTATAAGATAGATAACAAGCTAGGATGCTTCAAGGTGAAAAGAGACATTTCCTTTGAGTGACCTTCAAGAACTCAGAAATGACTGCTGACAAATCAGATCCCACCAGTAATGGCTGGGACAGTGCTTCAGAGACAGTCAACATTTCTAGGATATTATAGGACAGGACTTCCTTGAATTGTTCTACTTACCCACTCACACTTGGACACCTTTGGGTACCAGGTTCTGTTCTCTAAGCAACTGATACTTTGGGAGCCGACCACACCATAGCCAAGATTGCACTGGACAGTAATATTTTCACCCTCAATGTACTGAGACCTATGCACAGACAGCTTTCCATTCTCTATCTCTGGTTTCTGACACAGAGCTGTAATGGAAACACGATTTTTAGCAATCTGTAATTCTAAGAAAAAAGACATGATAACAGGCTAGGATATTAAATACAAACTATATTTGTTGTTGTTGTGTGCCGTCGAGTCGGACCCGCTATTAATTTTTTTCATTTTGATAAAACTGTAATAATGAACAAACAAATGAATCCTCTGCCATAAAGTCATATTTGACTCATAGTGACCCCTCCTTGGGTTTCCAAGGAGGTAGGTATCACTACGGAAGTAGATTGCCCAACCTTCCTTTCGGGGAGTGGCTGGTGGGTTTGAACTGCCAGCCTTCTGGTTAGCAGTCAAATAAACTATAATATTAATCTATTTTTATTGTGCAGTGACTCCATATCAGACTTTGGGCTAAGCACTTTAGATGATTGGCTCATTTAAGTCTCAAAACCATCCTATGAAATGGCTATTAAACCCATTTTACCTAGGAGAAAATTGACACACGGAGATGTTGAGAAGCTTGCCCAAGGTCCTAATTTTTAAAATAATATTAAAAGATATATCTTGTAAAAGGTATGTGAGCCCAGATTTTAAGATCTCAATCAACTGTCACCTGCAGCCCTGACTTCTGCAAGACACTAGGTATGAAAATTTCCCTCTTTTTACCTCATTATCCTGTATTCAAGGAGACAATGATGCCAAAGATTTCCTGGGTTTTCTGAGATAAGACAGCTGGGTGCATGAAAACATCAGAAGCAATTTTGACTCATCCTGTCACTACCACTGGTTGACAAACCAGGAATTCCCCATCTCACCACCTATATCATAGGCAGGTGGTGTCCTGCACGAGGGTCCGATGGAAATACTTGTCACTTCATGATGATTGGAATTAGGTCATGAAAGCCCACATTTATACCAAAACCAAGTTCCATAAAAAGTTTGCTTTGGCCCACAGCTCCTCTCAAATAAAATGTACTGCCTCCACTATATTTTTGGAAACAGATACAAGCAATTGGAGATAGAGACCACCTTTAAAGGCCCAAATTGTGTGAGTAAGAGAAAAGAGTGGGAGCAATTAACTTTTTAGTAAGTTCTTTGTACTTTTTGCATTGGGTACCATGTACATATATTAATTGCTTAAAACAAATCAAACCAAATCAAATGTATACAAGTTGCCTCAGGCAGAAAACAAGCTTTGTTCTCAATCCTGTCATGATATTTTCACCCTCTTTGCCATAAGCTGAAAATGAAGCTGTAGTTACCTTTACACTTAGGAACTGGAGGGGACCAGACTGAATGGCTGCAGGAGATTCTAGCCTGTCCAACCAGAATGTATCCTTCATCACATTCGTATAAAACCTCAGTTCTGAAAAATGAACCAACATCAGTATGACGTCCATGGGCAATGGCAGGAGGAAAATCACAACCTTGATGGTGAAAGAGAAAAGTGAGAGTGTGAGTCTGCAGAATTTATGAAATCAATCATCCTAGACTCTGTGTAGGGAGCTCTGGTAGCATAGTGGCTAAGACATTTGCCTGCTAACCAGATGGCTGACGGTTCAAACCCACCAGCCACTCCCCGGAAGGAAGGTTGGGCAATCCTACTTCCGTAGTGATACTGCCTCGGAAACCCAAGGAGGGGTCGCTATGAGTCGGGTTTGACTCGACGGCACATAACAACAACAACAGACTCTGTGTGGTTTGTAAGAGGCTTCATTCTGTCCTTTTGTCTATGACCACAGAGTTGCTTGGCAAACCCAAGCACTGGTCCTGCTGTCTCATAATCTTTGGGCCAATGAACTGAAGACAGACTCAAGCTGAATTCAAAGGCCCAAAGTTGCAGTATTTCTCCCATTTCCTTGATAGGTTCACTAAACTTTAAATTGTTTAGAGAGCATTTGGCATGAAGTCTGCATTCAGTCCTCAAGGCACATTTTACTAGAGGCACACTTAACTGAGTTCAGGCTAAATGGAGAGATGTGCATCTATGAGAAAATGCAAAAGCAAATCCACAATCTCTGAGTTCCCACCTCCCTAGTCAAAACTATCCATCCATTCCATCCCCCCCCCAAGAATATACCTAATGCATCTTGCAAAATTATAGAAAGAAACCCTTAGAAGGATAAAATGATGACTTGCATGTTGAAATAATAAATATGACATGGATCAGAGCCCTCTCTGAAATGGAACACTCAGTAATCACCAACACTGCATAAGAAATGGAAATAAAATAGAGAATTGGGAATGTCAGAAGACATAGATAGTGATGGACTAAAGTAGTTAGAGGTACAGTACTAGGCTGGCTCCTAGAAGCTTGGAAAAAGTGATGGCTCATAATAGGTGAGATAGAAATTCTGGAATTGTTGTGGCAGATGGTAGAAAAAAGAATTAATGAATCAAGAAAGAGAGCTTGTTGAAATGAATATGCTATGTGTCTTGGTTCTCTAGTGCCGAGACCAAAAGTGAATGGCTTTAACAAAAAAGAATTTATTCTCTTACAATTTAGGAGGCTAGAAGTCCACATTCAGAGTGCCAGCTCTAGTGGCTGGATGAAGGCCTCTTGACTCTGGGCTTCAGTTCTGCCTCTTGCTCCTAACCCACCAGATCTGGAGGCTTCTTATAATTCAGGCAGCTACTGACTGCTGAGGCTGATGAACCCAAGGTTGGCAAGTATAATGGCACAACTTCAAGATCAACAGGCACATGGCAGACCACTGATTCAAGTCCAGGAACAATCCCAAGATTGGCAAGCAACACGACAGGCCACTGAAATGAAGACTCAGACAAATGCAGGATCTAGATGTGCCCAAAAGCTAGAGACCATTCCCAAAACTTCTCCTTATATACTGGAAGCAGACCACAGACAGCTCCCTAGCTGCTCACAGTAGATTCTGCTGTGACTACAATCTCATCATGGGGAATAACTACACCCAGCTGCCCAGCCACTCAAAACAACCCAGCCAAGCCAACACAAAACTTTAACTACCATAACTAGGGAAGGCTAAAAAACCAATAGATGATTACATTGCACGGGAAGGACTAGGGGGAGTCAACATTAATCAAGTTTACAAATAATTCTCTGACAAGAGGAGCACCAGCATCAAATGCTAAAGCTGATGATAAGAAAGGCCAATAAAAAACAAGGTTCACTGATAGTAATAAAAGGCAAGGGCTACACAGACACTTCAGATACTACCTGAATATATAATCATCATAATGAGTAGCAAAGTCAGAGAGGCAGCCAGGGATGCCTGAGAGATATAAAGATGCTGAAAGAAAATAAGAGAAAATAATATATGAGCAGACAACAAGGATACTACTCGATTTGTGCAATCAAAAGAAATTAAGGTTGAATGACCAGGAGACTGACAGTATTTGGCTCAATAAAAGCCATTATCTCCCGCTCAGAGTTTGAATCTGGGCCAGCTTTCAGGCCAAGAGATCATTGACTGTAATGATGCTACAACACCTTGGAAAGAATTCATCATAATGAATTACTCAGTCTTCAGGAGGGTCTATGTACATTTTTGGGAGTAACTGTGCACTGGTGAAAGGTGTAAATTATCCAAGGATTATTGGACATAGAGGCTAAGTTGACAATGATACCAGGAGACCTCATGGCCCCGCCATCAAATAACTTGATGGTCATTTACATGACCCCTGAATGTATAATTGAAATAGATCTAATTGGTAGTTGGCACAACCTCTATATTGATTCCTTGGACTGTAAGATAAGAGTTACCATATTATGGAAGTTCAAGTAGAAGCCATTGATACCGCCTCCCTTGCACATCCTCAAACACAGAAAGTAAATCAGAAATAATATTATATATCAGGGCTGGGAGAGGAAGGGGTACTTAAAAATGCAGGCATGGTGATCCTCTTCATATCTCTATTTAATTTACTGGTCTGTTCATTACAATAAAGAGATGGAGCTTGACAGTACCTAACAACAACAAAATAACCCATTTGGGAAATTTGTGCTTCTTATCCTCAAAACTCTGGGTGTTGTGAGTTTAGAAATCCTGCTTCTCAAAGGGAGAGTACTTTCACCCAGAAAAATAGGAAGATTCCTGTTGATGTTTAAGCTACAATTCATTCTTGTCCACCTTGGGGTTCCTTTGGGTTCCTTCTTGTCCAGAAGGCAAGAAGAGAAGTCACTGTCTTGCCATGGGTAATTGATCCTGATCATTAATACATAGAACTGTTGAAACCCAGCAAAAGTGGGGACATATGCTTAACACTTGAGTGCCTCTTGGTCAAGAAGAGGTAGGTATTTCACAGTAGAATAGTCTTAGCAAAGGTTTAGAAGCAGCAGAAGGATACTATTTGAGGAAGAGAATACCAGTAAGGTTCAAACAGATTTAGGCAGGCAGGTCTTGTACTGTGGGTTAAGGCTTATGGACCAGTTATAAGGGAAGAAAAGAATATATATAAAGAAATATAAAACAACACTTGGAAAAGTCTAGTATATCTATTAAAAAACCAAAACAAACTCACTGCCATCGAGTTTATTCTGACTCATAGTGACACCTCCTTGGGTTTCCAAGTGGTATCACTATGGAAATAGATTGCCCAATCTTCCTTCCCAAGAGAATGGCTGGTGGGTTTGAACCACCAGCCTTCTGGTTAGCCGTCAAATGCCTTAGGCACTACGCCACCAGAGCTCCGTGTATATACACGACCCACCTCTGTCTGCACTCAGTCTCAAGACAACCTTGATTTTATATGCTTTTACCTAACTTCAAACCTTCACTTAATAATCTCCATCACTTAAATATGAAGAAACTTCCAATAACATAATTCCATAAGCTCTTACTGTCATCGCATGTTGGTGTTTTGGGATGCCACAAGCCATCTGCTTGGCAAGTAGCATCAAATTTAGGCGTAGACCTCTTATGACATGTATATCTAATAGAATCTCCAAAGAAATAGTCACAGGGATCAGTGAAATCACTTTTCTTCTGGTGAATGATTTCGCCATTCTTCAGATCCGGTGTTTGGCAACATATCTCTAAAAAATAAAAAATAGTGAGGGTAATGGTTACTAAAATCATCATAAGGAGTCTCCCATTGATAACACTCTCATATCCACTTTAAAAAATAAATAAATAAACAGAGAGAGAGAGATTTCACCACTGCAGTGATTTTGAGGAAATCAAGAAAGTGTATCTAATAGAAGGTCCTGGACAAAGTAGGAGAAAAATGTGTAACAAAATTCAAAATGATAAAAAAAAAAAAAAAAGACCAGGCTTTGTCATCTGATAGAGACTGCTGGAACACCCGAGACTATGGCTCTTAGACTCCATTCAATCCAATAACGGAACCAACCCCTGTGGCTCAATTTTCAGCCAAACAGTGGACAGGCCTATGGGGTGAACACCAACACCAAGAAGGTACACACTCCTTAGAACAATTAACCGTATGAGATCAAAAGGGCAGCATCTGCTCAGGGATAAAGCTCAGAAGAGAGGAATGGTTAGGAAAGAAAGATGAATGGTAAACACAAGGAGGAAGTGGGAAGAAAGCTGTTACATTGTGGAGACTGCTTTCAACATCATGAAACAAAACACCAACAGTTGAATAGAAAACCAATTTGCTCTGTAAACTTTCACTCAAATCATAATAAACAGTTAAAGAAAAAAAAAGTGTATGCAAGACACTGAGTCTGCTTCAGTCTCTGTCTCTCATTTGTTCAGGTCCTCCAACCCAGTTATTTCCTTCCAGAAACCCAACACCATGGAGCAGATTCCAACTCATGAAGACCCCATAGCTCTCCAACTAAATATTTTAACTTGCAGTCTTCAAAATGAGAGGCTGGATTAAACCTCTATGAAAAAATGTATATTTTCAAAATTATTCAAGACTAATGACTAAAAAGTTTTTCATTCTTCTCCTTGTGGCTTCGTTAGGATTATATCATTATTAAACTCTCTAGTAAGTTATACTGGGAGCTCTGGGAGCTAGTTCCTAAAGCACTTGACTGCTAACCAGAAGGCTGGTGGTTCAA